CGTAGCGGCATATAGCGGGGGAGCCCGGGAGGTGTGTTTTTCTCTCGTTTTTGCTGCGCAGGTTGCATCTGTCGAGTTCTATTACTTCTGGAAGAAATCGCCGGCCGCAAAGTGCAATCGGTAACGTCGGCAGCGGAAGCCAGCCAGCCGCAAGATGAAGAGGTCGGCCGCGAAGCTACTGGAAAAGGCGTGCAGAGGCGTGATGCGACCGCAGCCGCTACGACCCGAGTTTGCCGTTTCCGCCTGGGAATATACAGGGATGAGATTCTTCCGCGGATCCGCGTCGAAATCCTGCGGTATCCGGCCGAATCCCGCGGATATGACAGCTCCCAGGCGTTCGATTTTGTGAAACGTCTAAATTCGTTGTGAAATTTTGGCGGGGGTTCCCCAATGTAAAAATTTAAAATTAGTTATTACCTCAACAGCCCACCCTGACTGCTAGACTGTTAAGAGTGTACGAACAGTTTAGACTGACAGCGAAGTATACCAGTGTATCTGTTTTTTGTGTACCAGAAAAAAAATCCTCGTTCACAGCTGCAGATTAGAGCGGGCCCAGACATTTTGAGCAGTTTAGCTGATCAGCGTAACGCCCATGCCTGGCCTGGGGCCGGTTTACATGTTGCTGGGTGATGTTGTTGCATAACTATTGCACTGCGCATTGTTATTCGATTGTGTCTTTTTCATTTCAAATCTCGTCCAGCAAGGCAGCTTTATGTCTGAGTAAAATGTCTAGTAAAACAATGCAAGCGACGGGTGGCCAAACAGCAAAAATATCATTATGTCTAGACATTTAATATAAAACACTTAGCCTATTTTCAGCCCCCTGATTTCCTATTCATAGTTCGTTTGTTCCTTTGACCAACTTGAACAAGGTGATTCAAGAGTCTCCTATAATGTGTTCAGAATAGCCTTAGAATGCCAACCAAATTGCACCATTCTTTTAAAAAATTACGGGGGGGCATGCCCTTAGCGTGCGATGACCTACGGTCCTCGCATTGCTCGCTCCTACTGTTTGCGCATTGAATTTCAGCCCTGAAAATTAAATTCTTCCAATCCTCATCCCTCAATATATCGCACTCTCCGATTTGCCGCTGCGAGGGAGAGAGAGCTGTGGGTGGGGACGTTTTAATCGCACGACGAAGACGACTTCGAAATTGCGTTTGCGTAGTGACACCGGTTTCGGAACGATCGCGTGAAAATCTCGTCATCGGCATCGATTTATTTTTTTACATGAGAAGGAGGATTAACGGACAAGGGCTCTCAAGCAAATCCGCGTGAATCCGGAAGCTCTTCAGTGAGCGATGACAACGACAACGATGCACAGAGAACGACTCGCGTGGACTCGGGAAGGCTTCGGTGAAACAGGAGCCAGCCATCTGCTCTCACTGACCAACGCCAAAAGTATACGTCGTCAATTACGCGGCCTCTCTCGCTCGTCTCCATTTGCGGCTCTCGAATGCGAGATTCTAGCGTTGCGCCTCTTTCTCTACGCGGCCACTCTCTATCTGTCTCCCAGCTCGTTCGTTCTATCTCTTGTGTGTCTCCTGCCTCTGACTCTCGCCATCTCTGTTTCTTTAACACCATCTCAATATCTAGCTCCTCTCTCTCTCTCTCTCCCTTCTCTCCCTCCCTCCCTCCTCCTATCCCTCCCCTCTCTCGCTCTCTGTCTCTCTCTCTCTCCCTCACACTTATCCCTCTCAATATTTTCTCATTACAGTAACATGCATGTTGCACATAACTACATACTCTAGTATGTAGACAAATACTTGTGGGTATATAGGGGTAGTGTCGCGTATAGATTAGTTATACATAGCTTGCGAGAAGAAAAGTCACTTCTGGTTTCTACTCATCTACGTTGTTGCAGTATCGGATTAAGGGGTTTACCGTCGGACGTTTGTTCTTTACAGTATCCAAGAGGTTTCACGCCCGTCGGTCCCCAATGCCCAAGCCCCTCTGCCGACCGTTGCAAACCTACATCTGAAAGCTGAGGGGAGAACTCCACCCAGAGGGAGGCAGGAGGCGCGTTCCCAGACTTCCTCTTCAAACCAAGGTCGCGATCTGCAGGATGCGTCACCAGCAAGCCACCGCTATACTCTACCGAGCAAATACGGTGATGCTCTTCTCTCTCGCTGCCACGCCACACCATCTCGAAAGGAGGTTGAGGAAAGTCGCGTGTATGTTTAGTGTTGTTCCTGCTGAATGGTGCATAGCCTTACTTAATTGTCACTCCCTGTATTTGTCAGCAAGATAGAGTGGCGTCATATGAATGCGGCCATGAGAGTGTTGTGCATATTCATGTAAAGCATATTTTATGAATAGGTGTGGCGTGAGAGAGGAGAGAGAGAGAGGACGGAGGGAGGAGAAGAAGACGAGCATTGAGTATCCAGATGAACAGAGAGCAGAGCATTAGAGATAGAGATAGAGGATAGAGCATTAGAGATAGAGATAGAGATAGAGATAGAGATTAGAGATAGAAATTATTAGAGCTTAGAGATTAGAGAGAGAGAGAGAGAGAGAGAGAGAGAGAGAGAGAGAGAGAGAGAGAGAGAGAGAGAGAGAGAGAAAGAGAGTGAGAGAAGATCTAAAATGTGTACCACACCATGTGGGTTGAGGGAGAGAGTGAGTATGTGCTATACAGTTGATGTTTTGCTACTCTCATTATAGCAAAAAGACAACACTGCATCTAGTCCAAGAAAGCGGAGTTGGGCAGAGAGCAAATTATCCAATTCGGGTCGCAGCAGTAGTCCCAATAGCAAGAAGAAGCGACCACAGGTGAGAAAGCGGTTTCTTTTTTTCGAGATTGCTTGAAGTAATACACAGCCATATATATATATATATATATATATACAGCCCCTATACCCATTAAAATCACAAAAAATAACCGCTGTTGCCACGTGTCATAATTGTTACCATCAGGAAAAAATGGGTGAGCTACACGTGGGGTAAACGCGAGTGGAAATCATTGACCATGTCTGGGTTATCTTTATGTCCTATGTTAGCTTGCTGAGGGGTGCTGCGGAATCTGGCAAGGTGCAGTGTGATGCGTGTATGTGTGCGTGCGTGCGTGCGTGCGTGTCTGTGTGCGTGCGTGCGTGCGTGCGTGCGTGTGCAGTCTTTTCGCGTCATCGTCAACCGTTCTCCGCTTGCAGTCTGGTAGCCGGGTTGGTTCTGAGTCGACCAGTCCGGAGGACAGCAGCACCAGCATCTCAAACGAAGACATCGGCAACGACGGAGACAACGAGCGAGAGAGCTCGCTATCGTCCGAGGACAAGCAGTCGCCACCGCCACCTAGTGACGAGAGACCAGATGTGCTGCCGTCCGGGTAAGACCAGGGCGTGAAATTAGCCAAAATGTTAACAGGCCCACCCAAAATTTCAAACGGGCCCTCACAAGTTTGAAGAGACCCTTAATTGTGTTCACTTTATTCCAATATTAATAAAAGTATTAGCTTTGTGTTTATTAGGCATACTCATAGTATTTACTACGAGTTCTACTTGTTTGACAGGAATTGCTGGAACATGATATACTTCTTAGTAGTCACGAAGTAAAAACTAGTCAGGAAATTGGTAAATATTGTTGATATAAAGGCAAGATAGGCAAAACTTTGAATAGGCCAAGTGGACTGATCATATGGGGGTCGAACCGGCGGCCACCGGCAAAACGGCGCTAATTTCGTGCACTGTAAGACCTATTAAAGGGATACTAGTACTACACACTAGAATTTTAGCGTATATTGTGATGGTAAGTGCATAACTAGTATATACCTACAAAGCTTCATAATCATGCATTCACACTTGTCATAAAACGACAGTGAGTTTCGAAATCTTTATTTTTGGACGCTGACTTGACACCCCGCGATTATGCTGCCACCCTGAAGAAGGTGCGCTTTTGCCGATTTACTTTTGCATGTACAGACTGAGGGCTAATCACAAAAGTGGAATTATATTTATACCTAAATGCTATTTAACCGAACGATTTTTATTTTAGGATAAATTCGTCCCTATTATAACCGAATCTAAAATTTGTTTATAAGATATTGCAACCCCTTTCTTCTTAAATTCATAAATAAGAAACAGCTTCGGTCTGTAGCCTGCAGTCGAAAAGTTGTGATGCACAACTTTAAACGCAGATGGACTAGTAGTGGCGGCACCATCGTTGTAAGCAACGATACAGTCGTTAGTTTTAAAACATTAAAAAAATATTTCGAACTAATATTGAACGATGACATTTTTCATGTATTATAATTTAACCCTATTTGAACCGAAAATATGCAAGGAACCTACGGTCAATTACCCATTTAAGTGCAAGATCTAACGTGGCGATTGAATAACCTATAAGACCAGCAAGAGAGGTTGGATTGTACACAAGCATGTACGATATCATAGAAGCACGTCTCGGTATGGCATCCATAATACATTCTAACCGGTACATATAAGGGTCATGCAAGGGGAAATGCTAAAAGTGTTCTTCATAGAAATAGGCCTGTTCCATAGAGGTGAGCTAAGTGTGTGAACTGCTGCTACTCAAGGGAAATGTCAGAAGTGTCCTCTGTCGACATGTGTCCGTTCAATCGATGTGTGCGACACAACACGGGGTTCAGACTGTAGGTGTGTTTCACTCGGTGCACCTGCTGAGCGTTTTCATGTTTCATGTTTTCGAACGTTCGCATGTTTTTGCATCGTCCACAGGTCGCGAACGCCGCCGCCGCCCATCGGACTCCCGCGCGGTGTGGTGGCGCCACTGTTCTCGGGTCCCGTGCCAATATCTAGACCGCCGCCGCCGCCGTTGGTGCCAATCACGTCTGTGCGTCCGCGAGCAGATGGAACGACTGCGTCGTCATCACCGCTGGCTGGCTCCTTCCCCTACGATAGCAGGTGGGAGAGGAGTGAGGAAGCGAGTGAGAGAGTGAAAGAAAGGGAGCTATAAGTGTGAGCGAGAGAGTAAGAGTACGGAAGATTGGGATATAGAGATGTAAGTGTCTAACCGCTACACTGCACCCCTGACCATACCTCCACCTCTACTCCCCTCCCCCCAAAGTGACTAATGGCTACACTGCACCCCTGACCATACCTCCACCTCTACTCCCCCCCCCAAAGTGTCTAACCGCTACACTGCACCCCTGACTATACCTCCACCTCTACCCCAACATGTCTAAACCGGCGACCTTTCTCTACCCTTTCACCTGGCTACGCAATCATCCAGCAGTAACTGTGCACGACGGTTTTTGTGTGTGTTCGGAGTAATGTAATCACGTAATGTCTCGTGCGCCACCTGTATTTTAATGTTTCACCTGTATTTTAATCTTGTTGTCTGAACGCTGTGCATACTCCTGCTGTGAGTTGCATGTTTGCGCGTGCCTGCTTTCGTGCGTGCGTGCGTGCGTGCGGAGTGTGTGTGTGTGTGTGTGTGTGTGTGTGTGTGTGTGTGTGCGTGCAGGTGTTTCTGCGTGTGTGCTGGTACGTGCATGGTGTACGTGCATGCATGCGCGTGCGTGATGCATCCGGGTATTTACACGGGCATTTGCGTGCCTCTCTATCTGTGTCTCGGCCTGCCTGTCTGTATGTATGTCTCCCTCTCTCTCTATCTCTTTCTGTGTGTGTGTGTGTGTGTGTGTGTGTGTGTGTGTGTGTGTGTGTGTGTGCGTGCGTGCGTGCGTGCGTTCGTGCGTGCGTGCGTGCGTGCGTGCGCGTGCGCGCGCGTGCGTGCATCAGTGCGTTTGCGCCGCGCCGCTCCTATGACAACCGTAAAAGCGTAAAAACCCGCAGAGGCAGCGACGATGTTTTGGGGGTAAATATTTTATTTTTATTTTTTTTAAAGCTAGCGACGACAGCGCCATGGCGTTTTTAATGATTTTCGATTGTTTTCTGTTTGCGGCGACGTAACCAAATTAGGAAGCCTGTTAAAGACGCCGGTTAATGACAATCGCCGACGCGCAGAAAGTGCGAAGGCGCCTTGATGTTCATCGCGTCGTCATTGCTCCCTCCGTCGTTCGCATCAGATTGCGATCGTACCGATTTAACGCCCGATTTCAATCTTAGTCACTGACACGACCTCGGTTCCTACGATGGGTCCCCACCGTGCGTTTTTTTACGCCGGGCTCGGCGATCAGCGATTGGGCTTTGATCCAGCTTTGCCCTTCCTTTTCGATTTGATTCTAATCACGCGCGTTTCTTCGTCGTTTGCAGAAGCTGTTCGTGAAAGGCGTGCGACAGTTCGGAAAGAACTTCTTCAAGATTCGCAAGGAGTATCTGCCGCACAAGCAGACGGTGAGCAGCAAGGACGTAGGAGGAGGAGGAGTGAGAGAGAGTTAGAGTGACAAGGAGAGGGAGAAGGAGAGGGAGAGAAGGGGAGAGGGACAGAGAGAGAGAGAGGGTGAGAGAAATAAAGAGAGAGAGAGAGAGGGTGAGAGAAATAAAGAGAGAGAGAGAGAGAGAGGGTGAGAGAAATAAAGAGAGAGAAAGAGAGAGAGATTTCTTCTTTTACCAACCCGTATTTACTTTAAACTGTCTCTTTTACAAGTCAGTAATTGGCAAGCTACACTCACACCAAGTTGGTTCAGTTAGTTTTCCGATCTAGTTGTCGCTCCCTCCCATTTTTACCTCCGCCCAACGGAGTTGTAGGAGGTTGTGTTTTCGCTCTCGTGTGTTCGTGTGTTCGTGCGATCGATATTAGCGCGGCGGTCGATCGATATCACCCAGCGAGCCAGTGAGTCGGCAAGCCAGCGAACCCAGCGAGCCAGCTCGTAGCACATACATGTTACATGGGAGCGTGTACATGTCAGTACACTGGCGTATATCGTCGGTTATTCATGTGTTCGTGAGTCGTATGGCGTATGGCGTATGTCGCTGGCGGAGGTATGCACTCCGTGAGTGCACTCTGTCTAGTCTTATGTATGTTTCAACAGTCGATATATTTGTCACTGCAGGTTCATGGAGCTACAGCTGACATCTCAAGGCCAGCCGTGCATCGAGTCCCCCTGCAACACCAAGGAGCCAAATCCAGGGACGCCAGGACAACACCAACAACAGCAACATCAGCAGCAACAACAGCAGCAGCAACATCAGCAGCAACAACAGCAGCAGCAACATCAGCAACATCAGCAACAACAACAACAACAACAGCAGCACCCACGACCATCTGACAAGCTGAAAGCAAAAGCACCTGAAGTTGGTGTTGATAAGCAGTTGCACTCTGAAATCAAGCCTGCTGCTCCTGTAGAGAAACCTGTAGCCACTGTGCTGCCTTCGACTCAAATCCAGCATGTGCTGCCACCTTTGCAGAATCCACACGTGCTCACCTCTACACAGAATCCACACAATTTGCCTCCAATGCAGAACCCGCATGTGCTGCCCTCTACGCAGAATACACACGTGCTGCCGCCTGCTCAGAATCCACACGTGCTGCCAACTACGCAGAACCCGCACATGCTGCCACCTCCGCAGAATGCACACGTGCTGCCCGCTGCGCAGAACGCGCACATGCGTCCTCCGCCGCAGAACCCTCACGTGCTGCCCCCTACGCAGAACCCGCACCTGCTGGGCGTGGCGTCGAGCCCGCACGTGCTGCCCCCTGCCGCGAATCCGCACGTGCTGCCCTCTGCGCAGAATGCCCACCTCCTGCCTTCGATGCCGAACCCGCACTCGCTGCCCTCTGCGCAGAACCCGCACGCGCAGTACGCGACGGAGAAGGTCGAGGCCGGAGAGAAGCCCGGCGTGTGCGTCGTGCGGCCGGAGGAAGCCGTGAAGGTGAAGCAGGAGCCCGTTGAGGAGACTCCCGAGCACGAGGCGACGGAGGAGCCCGAGATGGAGGAGAGGAAGATCCCGCTGCGCACGCCCTCCCCCGAGCCGACCGCAGACTGCACCGAGCTGTTCCGCACAAAGTCGGCCATGTGAGTAGTCGCTGCACCGCTGCGTCCATCGACAGTTCCTCCTCTCCTCCCCTCCCCCTCACCGTCTCCCTCCCCCGCGCGCGGCATCGTCAGTCCCTCCTTTCCTCCCAACCCCCTCAACCCCCATCTCCCTCCCCCATGCGTGGCATCATCAGTCCGTCCCTCCTCTCCTCCCAACCCCCTCCCTGTCTCGCTCCCCCGCGCGCGGTGTCTCCCTCCCCCGCACGCGCGGCATGCCCCACATGCACTCTGAACGAAATCGTGAAACCAACAGGGACAAGCGGAGCGTGTTACAGTACTAGTAAAAAATAGAAGCTGTCACTGCTTCCAACCAGCTCCCGGGAAACTTTACGGGTCTGTTAGCGTGCGATTAGCCTTGGATGCGCGTGGAGTCGGCGTGTGGTTTGCGCAAATTCGAAAGCCCCGATCCGACAGTGGTGACGGGCTTTGACGTGGCGATCGCTCACTTTGCTGCTTTTGCACGTTCTTCAGATTCATCCGTGCCATGTATAGAGGGCGCCACAACTCGTGCGCGCGCACCGACTTCAACTTCAAGTCAGTGCCCGAATCCATGCTCGCAAAGAAACGGGAGGAGCAGAAGAAGAAAGCCATCGAACCAAAGGAGGAGAGGCCGGTAAGTGAATCCACGTGCAAATAGGAGAGCATGATGAGGCCGGCCTTGATAGTACAATCGCCCGTCCTCGATGTTAAGCCCAGCTCTGCGATTTCTCCCTTTATGTCAGCGCCATTTATCATAAATTATTTGATATATATATATTTATATATATATTATATATGTACACATTATATAATATATACACCTACATATTATGCTTGATATTTACACATATCTGCTTCACTATTCTACTAACTACTAGATTTTTTTCTCCGGCAGAAGCCGCCGCCGCTCACGTCGGACAAGAAGCCGTCGGACGCGTCGCCGTGTCGCTCGAGCATCTCGCGCTCGATGACGGATCATCTTCCCTGCTTCCCGCGTGCGTCGCCGCACGCTATCGCCGCCGGATACCCGTCGCACGACACGCCCGCGTTGAGGGCGCTCAGCCAGTACGCGAGCCCGCACATGGGCTACTCGCCGCACGTGATGGCCATGCCCGGTGAGTCGCTCGATCGAGCGCGCGCGCGCGCGGCATAGACAAAGGTGTACTGCTGCGCGATCTTTCGTTCTGCTAGATTCAGTATGGTATGGCCGTGGGTTTGTTGTCTGCTGCGACGAAAATATAAATATAAATGCTGCACTTTATAAAATACATCATCACTTTAGCGTTAGGCAAAATCTTGCGCCTGACTGTATTCGCTCAATGGAGTTCCTGTGATACTGATGAAGTGTCTTGTGATTGCTCGGAAGGGCCGTCAGGCATGGCAGGTCAGCCGTATGCGATGCCGCAGTATGCAGCCGACCCGATGCACTACTACATGTCCATGCTGCATCTGTATCCGCCCGGATCGCGTGAGCGGTAAGTCGACCCCCCCCCCGAAATCTGGTTCAGTTCTGCAGGTAACTCGTCACTACGCTGCTGCTGCTCAACGCACATCCAGATTTATCCCTCCGTCTAGATCTCGCATCTCGAATTGAATCGGTTTTAAGTTCACGAGCAGCAACATAGACGAAAGTGGTACTACTCTGCGCGATCTTTTGTTTCCGCTAGATTCAATGTGGTATACTGTCTCCGGTCCGCAGCCAAGTTAAATGAGACTAACGTTTTAATTGTAATTGTGAGACTAATCGCATTTGTTGCGCTGTTGGTTTTACGATGCATCGCGTCTCGGCTGGATACCAGGATGGACATCGAAGCGAAGATTGAGCAGGAGCGACGGGAGAGAGAATTCCGTGAGATGGAGCTGAGGGAAAAGATGAAGTTCGGGCCGGACGGCAAGCCAATGGGAGTGGAGCACCTACCCGGTCGCAGCCCGCTGGAACCTCATTGGCTAGAGTTACAGCGAGAGCACGCAATGGCGGGAATGTATCCACCGACGTCGAGTGCTGCAGGTAAGGGCCGATGTATGAGCGCATTTAGGTAGGTGTGTGTAAGTGCATGCAGTTGTATCTGTGTGTAGCGTGTGTGTAGGTGTTTGTGTGCGTGCGTGCGTGCGTGCGTGCGTGCGTGCGTGAGTGCATGCGTGTGCGTGTGCGTCGGTGCGTGTGCATGCATGTACAGTCTGTTCGGATGTGTGTACATAAGTGTCCATGCGTGCGTTCATGAGTGTGTTGGTGCACGAAGGTGTGGATGTGTTCTCGTGTGTGCATGCATGTGTGTCAGCGTGTGCCTGTATGAATTTCGCAATTACATCGTTAATCAATGGAACTCTAATAGAACTCGAATCAGTCTAGCAAGTCATACTACCCGTGCCCCCACACAGTGGTTCCACCTTACACATTGACTCCACCCGCACTCTCGATCACCACCCGCCCTTAATCATGCCACCTTACACATTGACTCCACCCGCACTCTCGATCACCACCCGCCCTTAATCATGCCACCTTACACATTGACACCACCCGCACTCTCGATCACCACCCGCCCTTAATCATGCCACCTTACACATTGACACCACCCGCACTCTCGATCACCACCCGCCCTTAATCATGCCACCTTACACATTGACACCACCCACA